GATATACAGCATATCCTTGATATTCCGATTTCAATATTCTTAAATCTTTCTGCATACGTCTGTTTGTGAAGGTGTAAAGCAGCGCGCATTGCTCCTAGTAGACTCCAACAAGGACCTTTCGATAGTACTTCTTCTGTAGATTACGTAGCGCTAAAAAGTAGTCACAGGCATCTTTCCATGGGAGTTAGAAGGGCTGGTGAATTTTGGAAAAATTATGTCGCTCTAAATTTTTCTCAACGTAACTCTAAAATATGAAGCTCTCTTGCTAAGCAGATGTGATTTTCGTAATCAGCAGGTCGGATAACCCTTATAAGCATGTTTTCCAAGATGTTCGAGTAATTTCATTTTTTCTCGTTTTACGCTCTGAAGCTGCCCGATGGATTTTGGTCAAAATGTTCATGCCTTAAATTGTAAGGAAACTCCGCTTATAGAGGTTTTCGAACACGCTCTTCACGAAAATCGTGGTCTTTGAGGATTACAGGGTCTTCTTGGAGAGATACGGTGAGGTGACTGTAACAGCATCACGAAAGCTCTTAACTTCGCCTTCACCTCTCACTGTCTGTCAAAGAACCTGCCTGCTTGCTTTACTAGTCAAAGTTACTAGGAGATGTGCTATCGAATGGCGGAAGACTCAGGCTCCAGTCTATAAAATTCGCCGAGTTACGAGCCTATGAACACACTTCTCATGAATTTTGCTCAAAATGTAAAGATCGCAAGTTTCGTCGAAATTCCACCATGAGTGCTTGTACAATACGCTGATCAAATCTTTTCACATTCTTAATGGATCTTATTGTGAGATTTGGTGATTTGAGCTCTAGCCACAAAACAGCTTTGATATCAATTGCTGAAGCACACGCAAGCACCATATTCAATACAGTGGAGTTATTGAGCGAAGCGAACATAATATCCGCAATGCGAGTGTCATACAAGCACTCATGGTGGAATTTCGACGAAATCTGCGATCTTTACATTTTGAGCAAAATTCATGAGAACGTGTTTTCGTAGGCTCGTAACTCGGCGAATTTTATAGACTGGAGCCTGAATCTTGCGCCATTCGATAGCACATCTCCTACTATCTTTGACTAGTAAAGCAAGCAGGCAGGTTCTTTGACAGACACGTGAGAGGTGGAGGCGAAGTTACGAGCTTTCGTGATGCAGTTACAGTCACCTCACCGTATCTCTCCAAGAAGACCCTGTAATCCTCAAAGACCACGATTTTCGTAAAGAGCGTATTCGAAAACCTCTATAAGCGAAGTTTCCTTACAATTTAAGGCATGAACATTTTGACCAAAATCCATCGGGCAGCTTCAGAGCGTAAAACGAGAAAAAATGAAATTACTCGAACATCTTGGAAAACATGCTTATAAGGGTTATCCGACTTGCTGATTACGAAAATCACATCTGCTTAGCAAGAGAGCTTCATATTTTAGAGTTACGTTGAGAAAAATTTAGAATGACATGATCTTTCCAGAATTCACCACCTCTTCTAACTCCTATGGAAAGATGCCTATGACTACTTTTTAGCGCTACCTAATCTACAGAAGAAGTAGTATCGAAAGTCCTTGCTGAAGTCTACTAGGGGCAATGCGCGCTGCTTTACACCTTCACAAACAGACGTATGCAGAAAGATTTAAGAATATTGAAATCGGAATATCAAGGATATGCTGTATATCGAAAGACTTGCCTTGATGAACTGAGCACAAAGCTTTCTTCGGAGTCAGAATATGTTCATTCCGAAGGAAGTTACGGCGAGTAGAATTTAGAAACGCGTGATTTTTCCAAAATTCATCAACGCTTCTATCTCTTTTGGGAGACAGTCTGCAGCTACTCTTGAACGCACGATAACCTACAAGGACAGTACTATCTAACAGTGCTTACTAGAATCTTTTATGTTACACAGACGCTGCGTTACATCCTTGCGAAAAGACCTCCACAGAAAAAATTCGAAAAAACTGGAAATGGAATATCGAGAGCATACTGTATATCAAAATATTTGCCTCTACGATCTGAACACAATGCTGCTTCTGGATTCAGAATATATTCATTCCGAAGGAAGTTATGGGTTGCGCACTCTGCGTGATTCGCATGGTTTCGCGGATCCTGAAATGTCGCGAACTTCCCGGATTATCACGCACTTTGGCGGAAATCCCGGAATTCCGCAAAGTTCACGGAAATTTCGACATTCTGTGGGCGGTATTGTGATCTTGAGCAGATCTTAGAACAAATTCGATCAGAATGGCTCTGTACCATACTCCTATTGTATACTGTCTATGTGTCATCAGCGACAGATCAATGTTATCAGCACACTGAATTCAACCAAAATAATAATCGATAATTCTGAAAACTAATGTTGTATTCGGAATCTCCATGCTCGATTACCCCTTGTGCAATCCCAGCCCAGTAGCTCAAACTTTGCAAAAAAATCGATAAAATCGTTAAAAGTAATTGATAATTCTGAAAACTAATATTGTATTCGGAATCCCCATGCTCACTTGCCCCCCTGTGCCAACTCCCGGCCCCGTAGCTCAAACTTTGCAAAAAAATCGATAAAATCGATAAAAGTAATTGTTAATCCTGAAAACTAATATTGTATTCGGAATCCCCATGCTCACTTGCCCCCCTGTCCCAACTCCCGGCCCCGTACGTAAACTCTGCAAAAAATCGATAAAAATCGATAAAATCGATATCGATCGATGACAAAAAGTAGCCTATGACACCCGCCGGGGCCCGAAGTGTATGTGTGCCAAGTTTGGTCCGGATCGGTTCAGAAATGGAATTTTCTATTCGGAGCGTACGTACAGACAAACAGACAAACAGACGTTCAGCTTCATATATGAGATGATGCGTCTCGCCGAGCTGAATCGAACGGTGTCCTCGGATTCAGAATTCGTTCATTCTGAAGCGAGATATGGCTAAATTGACGATCATTTCGGCGCACTGCGGCGGAGTGTGGCGCACTCTGCCGCACTCCGGCGCACTCCGCCACACTCCGCCACACTGTGGCGGAGTGTGGCGGAGTGCGCCGCAGTTCAGCGACTTTTTTGACGAATTATGAGCGGTATTGTATAACGCCTATTTTGTGTTATTGGCGCAATCTTATCGCGCGGATAATCACCTTGTGCGGCCGCGATTGGATCAAAATCGGCCAACTCCAGGTTCTTAGGGACCTCATTGGAACGCAATTGCCTCAGCGCGTCTTGAAAAATGGATGGTGCGCTGTCACTCGACTGACCCTCGCCACGACTCTGAAGAATATCTACAGTAGCTCTCGATTTTTCTCCATCTATGCGCGGCTCTTCTACGTGCGAGTTATTGACCCCTAACCCGAGGATGCGCTGTACGCTTGCTACCACTTGGGTTGAGTCTACCGCAAGAAGTTGTGACAGCTTTCTCATCGCACCGTCATCAAACTGCGCTTGCTCTAGGATTTCAACTAAGTCTTTTTCTAGTTGATCCACGCCCAATTTTCAAGCTTATTCAGTTCTTCGACCAGCTGCGTAATTTTCCGATTTCCACTTCTAGTCCCTTACAAACGCTATTCATTTGGAAACGGTCGGTGCTGGTGCTTCTAGGGCTTTTCTTATTTTCTGCTTTTCTCGCCCCCTTACTTACAAGGCTGCGAATCTCTGCTAAGTATTCGCCCATCTTGACAGGTACAACACATACCTGAGACTGCTTTTCCACTAACTGACGCACTTGCTGCGTCCGGCAAATTGCGCTTGAAGATCCCCAATGCGCTTGCCCTCCTCGTCCATGAGGATCATGGCCTCCATTTCTTCATCCATGGATTCCGCCATACTCTGAAACAGAAGAGAATCAGCCTTTTTCGTTATCAATCGATCGAGCAGGGCTTCACGGCAGCTTCCTGTTGCACTCAATGACGGTTCTTGCTTCTAGCAAGTCCTTCCCACCCACGGTGGTGTGTAGGTAGCCCCTCGTCCAGAGGTTCTCGTACCTAAGTGTGCCTAACGGTGTTCCACAGACAACTGCGGATCCAACCGGCACCTCACTTCGCGGTGATTTCTAGGTACCATCTCGACCAAAGGCTCTTGTACCCGTATGTGCTCAATGGTCTTCCACAGATGACCTGTGGATCGATCAGCACAATAATTGGCCCAGTAGTCAACGCCGCAACGGAATGCAAAATTTCCCCCGACAAGAAGTTTTGCAAAAAAAATTGTTTCCCGCGTTCAAATTTGTTCGGCCCCCATGTAAAAATAGGATTTGGGTGGCGGGCCACGTGGGCTAGAAGTTGCTACAGAATAACGAAAACTTTACTAACGAAAAAAAACACTGGAAAAGCACAAGCCTGCCTTGTGGGCAGTACACGGAAAGACTCACAAAGAAAACGAACAGAAAAAAATAACAATGCGGCTACTGCCGCTCCTCGTCGTCAATAATAACGGCAATCGCAAAACAAAACAATCAACAAGCGCTTTGGCGCGCGCAGACCACAATATCAGATCACCTATCAGATCAAAACGGTCCTTCTTCCTTACATCATAAGGATAACAGTCGCCTTGGGCTATATTTCAGTGCAAAAATCTTTTCAGTTTTTTCAAATAAAACGTTGCCAAATCGACTATCTACGCGCTGGCGCTGTTTTCGCAAAAAAAGCAAACTTTTCGAGCACTTTTTGGACGAGAATTTATGACGCGCAGAGTCACTTGTCAGCCAAATCATAACTTTGCAAAAAGTCGAATTAGCGACCCAGTTTTGCGTGCCAAAGGCGCGTGGACCCGTTTGACGCTCAAATTTTGAGGGACCCGCTTATCAAACCGGCTCGTCCTTGTGCATGGTGGGCCCACACGCTGGCGCGGTATGATGCAAAATTGCAGCCCGATAGCTTGATTGCAGCTTCCTCTATAAATTTTAGACAGATTTTCACACAGACACACACACGATAACTATCGCTCGCAGACTCGATAAAACCATAACGTTCAACAACAACAAAATGCAAGCCAATCTTTTGGTAATTTTCATTTTACTCTGATTATAGCACGATTAGGACGACTTCATGGGAGTGGGTTTCACGTACCCCTAATGTAAATTGCAACTCCCTATCATTTTCAAATTCAGAAAAAGAAAAGAAGAAAGAGTAGAAAGGAGTTCAAAGAGGGCGATGAAGTAAGGACAAAGTTTGCTGAAGATCTTGGCCAAATTAATCTGAAGGACAACATTTCTCTGCCTTCGGCACAAATTACTCGTAATTGCAGGAGTCCGGGTCAGAAAGCGATTCTTCATCAATGTCAGAAAAATCAAAGCAAGAAGTGTTGCCTGTAGCTGCTAAAAAGACGGTTCGACTTGCAAAACTTCGGTGCAACATCCACCACAAAGTTCTATCTAGGCGTTACCTGGAGCAATCCTGAAGGCTCGACGTCAGCCACCATGGTACTTCGTCAGGATCTTAGAAGAGGAAAGGCCGGATCTCCTTGGACCTAATGGAAAGTTGAATTTGGAGGTAAGTGAAAGGACAAAAAGCAGAACAGCCAAACATTAGGTTTCTCTCGAATGATGTCGAAGCGGAACTGCATTTCTGCTATCAACTTTTGATAGCCATTTTGAACAAGTGCCTTTGTGTGGCAGGTCGCTTCAGATAATCACTTCGTTGATGATGGCAGGCTGAGGAAAGGTGATCTCGACGGTCACATCTCAGTCATATTAGTTTTTGTGAAATACACTTTAATTGTTCTGATCACGTAGTGAGCACACTCTGAAATTGAAAAACGACGCAATTTTTCCACTAAAATTATTGAACAGCATTTCAAGTTTACGTGGTGAATTGGTGAATTCGAAAAGACCTGGCAGTTTATCAAATGGAGCAGAGACTGACTTGATGTGAGATACGTATTCTTGAAACCTCGTGGAGCCTGCTCTCTCTGACAAGGGAGGGATACTTGGTCGAAGTGGCGTCTACATATAAGATGTATACCTCTTATAGGGCATGGAACGATAATTTTAAATCTGCTTTCGTTATCTGCAAAGCGCTTTTGGGAGTGGAGTTATGGCGATTTTTGATGCAAAAATTTGAAATTGTCGCTGTAATAAAATCATTCAAAACTTGAGCTTGTAAACTCAAATGAGGCCATGATTATTACCGGAGCGTTTTATACAATAACTAGCTGGCTTACCCGGCTCCGCCCGGCGCCACATACACTTCGGTAAAAAAAGCCGAAGTTGTATTCCTCAAGAAGAGGAGTACAACTTCGGCTCAAATGGGCCTCATCGATTTGGAGGTCCCCACGCAGAGCCCCCACTGTATATTTCAATCAAATTGTTGGTCTTTCTCACACATTAGCAACACATTATTTATAGCTGGCTTACCCGGCTCCGCCCGGCGCCACATACACTTCGGTAAAAAAAGCCGAAGTTGTATTCCTCAAGAAGAGGAGTACAACTTCGGCTCAAATGGGCCTCATCGATTCGGAGGTCCCCACGCAGAGCCCCCACTATACATTCAAACTTTCATTCATTTTCATTCAAACTGTTGGTCTTTCTCACACATTAGCAACACATCATTTATTAACATTTGCAACTTGCCAAGTTGTAGAAACTCAATCAACATCAATGGTCGTGTCAGTGTTTTCATCCTTGGTTGATTTCTCTTTTTTCATAATAGCTGCGACAGCCCGAGCGATTCGCTCGACGTCCTCCTCCGTCGTTGCGCCGATGCTAGTTTCCGACTGAGTTGCAGTAGACGAAGTGGGCTTTGGTGGCTTCGGTGCCCTCGGTGGAGCAGGCGAGTGGCTGGAAATCGGAAATTAGTTAGACAATCAATAGAACTTCGAAAAAACTTACCGCCTCTTAGCGGGCGGCGTGCGCGTCTCCTCAAGATGAACCTGCCGGCTTCCTAGTACTTTCGGCTTCTTCGGACGTCCGTCTCGTAGAATCTTGTAGACTCTATCCTCGTTCAGGATAAGAAAATCTCCATCGATCTTCTCGATACACGCGAAGAGATCCACTATTTTTACCTTGATCCCGTCCATCACACCGACAACTCTTGCAATGAGGTGACCTCAGAGCCCGCCGCCTTATATACCCCGCGGGGGCGGGGTCGGGCGGTGGCGGGCTCTGATTGGTCGCCTTGTTGACTGACTATTCGACGCCACGCAACTCACCTGCGGGGCTGGGAATTTGCACAGGGGGGTAATCGAGCATGCTGATTACGAATACAATATTAGTTTTTGGATTCATCCATTACTTTTATCGATTTTATCGATTGCTTTGCAAAGTTTGACCTGCGGGGCTGGGAGTTTGCACAGAGGGGTAATCGAGCATGCTGATTACAAATACAATATTAGTTTTTGGATTTATCCATTACCTTTATCGATTTTATCGATTGTTTTGCAAAGTTTGACCTGCGGGGCTGGGAGTTTGCACAGGGGGGTAATCGAGCATGCTGATTACAAATACAATATTAGTTTTTGGATTTATCTATTACCTTTATCGATTTTATCGATTGTTTTGCAAAGTTTGACCTGCGGGGCTGGGAGTTTGCACAGGGGGGTAATCGAGCATGCTGATTACGAATACGATATTAGTTTTTGGATTCATCCGTTACTTTTATCGATTTTATCGATTGTTTTGCAAAGTTTGACCTGCGGGGCTGGGAGTTTGCACAGGGGGGTAATCGAGCATGCTGATTACGAATACAATATTAGTTTTTGAATTCATCCATTACTTTTATCAATTTTATCGATTTTTTCGCAAAGTTTGACCTGCGGAGCTGGGAGTTTGCACAGAGGGGTAATCGAGCATGCTGATTACGAATACAATATTAGTTTTTGAAATCGTCCATTACTTTTATCGATTTTGTCGATTTTTGACCGCCGACCGAGACCGGCCGCTATTTGCAGATCAGCATACACAACAAATCACGTCATAGAATCTTTTAACATTCAAGCTTTCTGACGATAGATATGGTTGAAGTTATGCTTGTCAAAAAAACGTCACTGCTCCTTCCTTTGTTGTGTAACGCAATACCTGCCATTGGAATCCTTTTGGTCCTGCTAAAGCAGTTGGCACTCCAACAGATAGTGGAGCGGTAAGGCTTGGTATGCCGCGAGTGACGGGTGTCTCTGACCGGGTAGTGCAAAGTATGAGAGCCCTGTTCCAAGTAGAGCTATTTGGGATTGCTCAGGAAGCTGGGAGAGTAAACTCACAGCGATGTAGATCCTCCCCCCCCCCCCCCACCTGCTGCTACCATTCTGCGTTAAAGCCCTTTATCGCCGTTTTTGCGCACTCAGGTGTGGATTTTCCGATTTAGCATAGCGAGTATGCCCGGGCAAGCACAAATCTCAAAATCAACTGCTTGCTCGGACGCTGCTTTTAAAACCCATCAACCGGTAGCTGGCATAACCGCCTCCGCCCGGCATCACATACACTTCGGTAAAAAAACGAAGTTATATTCCTCAAGAAGAGAAAACAACTTTGGCTCTTTAATTGTGGTTGTTTTCAACAGAGGCAACCGATGGTTGTCCTCAACAGAGGCAACCGATGGTTGTACCGATGGTTGTCCTCAACAGAGGCAACCGATGGTTGTACCGATGGCTGTCCTCAACAGAGGCAACCGATGGTTGTACCGATGGTTGTCCTCAACAGAGGCAACCGATGGTTGTCCTCAGAGAGGCAACCGGTGGTTGTGCCGATGGTTGTCCTCAAGAGAGGCAACCGATGGTTGTGCCGATGGTTGTCCTCAACGGAGGCAACCGATGGTTGTACCGATGGTTATCCTCAACAGAGGCAACCGATGGTTGTACCGATGGTTGTCCTCAACGGAGGCAACCGATGGTTGTACCGATGGTTGTCCTCAGAGAGGCAACCGATGATTGTGCCGATGGTTGTCCTCAACAGAGGCAACCGATGGTTGTACCGATGGTTGTCCTCAACAGAGGCAACCGATGGTTGTCCTCAGAGAGGCAACCGATGGTTGTGCCGATGGTTGTCCTCAAGAGAGGCAACCGATGGTTGTGCCGATGGTTGTCCTCAACGGAGGCAACCGATGGTTGTACCGATGGTTATCCTCAACAGAGGCAACCGATGGTTGTACCGATGGTTGTCCTCAACGGAGGCAACCGATGGTTGTACCGATGGTTGTCCTCAACGGAGGCAACTGATGGTTGTACCGATGGTTGTCCTCAACAGAGGCAACCGATGGTTGTGCCGATGATTCTCCTCAACAGAGGCAACCGATGGTTGTACCGATGGTTGTCCTCAAGAGAGGCAACCGATGGTTGTCCTCAACGGAGGCAACCGATGGTTGTACCGATGGTTGTCCTCAACAGAGGCAACCGATGGTTGTACCGATGGTTGTCCTCAAAAAAGGCAACCGATGGTTGTACCGATGGTTGTCCTCAAGAGAGGCAACAGATGGTTGGTACGATGGTTGTCCTCAACAGAGGCAACCGATGGTTGTCCTCAACAGAGGCAGCCGATGCCGATAGTCGTCCTTCCATTTCGTTCCTCAAGAAGAGGATGTACCGTTTCGTTCCTACCCTCAGACGGTTTGGCTAAACAGGTCCTAGGCTTTCCCCGGAACTCATCAGTAAGGAGGGAAGCTCTACTGGATCTGTCCAGCTTCTTGTTTGTCCCACCCACCTGCCCTGACCGCCGCTGGCCGCCGTTTTTTTGGGTTTTCGTTTTGCCATTTTTTTGGATTTTGTATTTTCCAATTTTTTTGGATTTTCCAATAGAATGGCATGCAACAAATAAATACTGTACTATACTACAGCATGCAATTATGTTAGCGCCCTGGGATACACTACGTTAGCCGTGCTCCCTTCGGGCGCATATATGTACAGGTTCGCCGGACTCCCGACCCTCGAACACGCCACGTACAGTTGACCATGCGAAAAACAGGAAGTTTCCAGGTCTACTCCTACTGTTCGCAGAGACTGTCCTTGCGCTTTTTGATCGTCATAGCAAGTGCAGGCCTGACCGGAAACTGCACTCGCCTGAACTCAAAGGGCATATCGGAGGGGACGAAAGGGATTCGTGGAACATGAACGACTTCGCCTTTGAACTTCCCCGCCAATATGGTCGCTACTATGACGTTTGGCATGAGATCCCTGATGCAAAGCCTTGTACCATTGCACATCCTCGGTGGGTTGATGTTACGAAGGAGCATGATTGGCAAACCAACCTTCAGATCAAGTCTGTGAGGTGGTATCCCATTGGGCTGGAGTGAATTCAAGAACTCAGTGGGGAAGTAAACAGCCTGTTCACGCTGAACCATGGTATCAAAGGACGTGTGGTTGATACCGGTCCAGGTAGGCTGTTTAAAATCTGAGCATTGATAGAATCCACTTGCTCATTTTTGGGTGCCAGAATTGCTCGCTCGCAAATCCAGTCCCCATTGCTGAAGTTGGTGGCAATGTTTGGGAAGACCTTTTCGATCAGTTCTCCCACCGATTGAACCATATTGCAGAAGTCTGGAGGAAAGGTAATCCAGCCAGAACTTGG